ATTTATTTATGGTTCAGATTTTCATTGAAATTTTAATCGCAAAAAATAAATATATATTTTTTGAATTAATTAAAAATTTGTAATTAACTGCGAAAAGCGTAAAGACGGGGAAACATTGCTTTTGGGATCAAAACAAACCATTCTTCACACAAAATACAGCAAAAAATAAAATGTAAACGAAATATCATTTTAACATAAATTCTGTTTTTATCGTCCGATTGAAACACTGATAACACATTTTGAATCAAAATCACAGAATATATGGCTATTAATTAATTTGAAACTTTGTGACGGAATTTAAGTGGGATTTTAAGGCATTAATTATGAAAATTCATTCAAATAAATTCAGTTTAATATATAAAAAGCAAAATAATTTAATTACAAAACTGTTTTTTATGATAGCATTACTTTACCTGACATTCCTTTGGGTGTCTGAGAAAAAGGCAAACAATTATTAAATCAATTCACAACTAAAAGAGAAACACAATAAGCCTCTAATGTCAACACACTTTCGCTTTTAATATAAAACTTTTAATTAGAAAAATAGTTTCAAATTTCATAAATTATGCCATAAATTGAATTCAAATCAAATTCAATCGACAATTTGACGATACATTGTATCACAATTAATGAGTTGATTTGGATGTCTAGTTGTGTTGCCTGTGTTTTATACTGTCTGACACTCTATACAAGGCTATGAATGAATGACACGAAATATGGTAAACACTTATTAAAATAGCACTCATTTTCTAAATTTCTAAAGAAATCAGTAAAAAATAATATTTCATGCAATCATTTTTATATACCAATGAATTGGTTTACAAAGTATTAAAATGTAATTTCTATACAGAATCTAGAGTTAAACATTTATATTATATATAATTTCATTTGATATTGTCTTTCAATTTATTAAATAAACAAAAAAGAGTGAATCACAGGAAATATATTTGATTTCATTTGAGGCCTGTTTTTAGTAAATCACTGTTTATTTTGTTTGTGTTTCAAATTCTCTGTATTTACTGTGACTTAACATCTGTAGAGCTAAAAATGATTAGTAAATTAGCATAACATTAAAGTATATATCAACTAATTTATATCATTCTTAACTCAACTGATTCAGTGGTTTTTAATTGTTCTCAAAAAATTTTAAAACTTGAGACGAACCATAAATGTTATTCCTATCTCTAAGTAACGGTATATTATTAACTAACCAGCATGTTCATTTTATTAGTTTAGTCATGTGTTTAATTGAAATATTATAATTATATAGAATTTAAATGCCATATTATTGCATAATAATTGATTAAAAGCACAGAATATGCAATTATGTAGTATTCACTTAATTATATCGCTTGAGCTGTCATTCAAAACAAACTATTCTTTGGTCTAAAAAGAGATGAATTCAAATGTCAGTCGAAATAAAGATATTATAACAGATGTAAAAATCAAATGCCAACTAAAAAATTGTCAGACATTCAAATTGAGTCCTCAAATATTTAAATATAAGTCTCAAAATATGGGATAAATGACAGACCATTGTATTGCTGCCAATGTATTGTGTTTGACATCAACTGCTGTTCACATAATAATTCATAATTTCTTGTAATTCATGCAGTATTACACTCACGCGTGAATCCCATTCACAGCCCAGTAATCATATCTCACGTTATTGTCAATTGTAATCAGTATTTCATATATTGGGTCAATCGTAACAGAGGAGGCGTTGGGCGAGTAGGGGGGCAATGGGTAGAGCTATAGTACTGTACATAGAGGACCAATAGTTTGCAATACTTAATAATTAATAATAATACTGTATTATTGAAACCGAGAATTGTTTTTTATACAAAACGCTAAAATTTAGAGCATATATTAATTATAGATTGCATTACATGTATGTAATAGTAGTTGATATATGAGAGAACATTATTTGAGAACTCTAGCCTAATATAATTGACCATGATAACTCTAATTCACTTAAATGTGAATTTACTGTAAACATCGAAAACGTCTTCTTCTAAAACCTATAAAATAAATAAAATTCCTGTGAAATGCTCTTAAAAGCGAGCATTTTATGTGAGTCTGCAAAAAGACGCCCCCACTCTCTCCCCCTCCCCGCCCGCCCCCAAACCAAATAACATTAATGTTATAATTAAAGCATTTTCACTCACTATATGTTGTAATTAATAATTTAAAACTATAAATATTTTTTATTTCCTAAGAATTACAGTATATATCGAAATAATGAGCGAAAATAGCATTACTTTTTATCAGTCATTCAGTTTTTTTTGCTATAAAATCTTATTTTATTTCTGATTTTTTGTTCACAAAAAGCTTGCGTTCGGAATATTTTCAAACTTTATTCGACAAGATTTGAAAGAAATTATATTTTCAAAAGAAAACGACACAAACTGTTGAGGCATTTGATCGATTGGCCGCTTATATGGGTTTGAAATCGCAGTCCAACTGATAAGTTGTCTATTTATCTGCAATCAGTTCTTAATGTTTCTCTGCATTTAGATTCCGACCGAAAGCTATGCTCTTCTATACCTGTTATGAGACTTTTTGGTGACTAATATTGCATTAATTCAAGACATTCTCCATAACAGCTCTTCTTCTTTAATATGATATGTTATCGCAATCTTTATTCCCGTTTTTATTATCGTTTTGTTTAATTATAATCCAATTGAAGTCAAATTATGTTTTTTGAAAATACTTCTCAGACCTCGAGTACACAGAATCGACTCACAAATAATGATTGAATTACAGAATTCTTTGTCTAAATGTCATTTGATTTTATATTTATAATAACAATAATAAGTCAATACTCTTTAAAATCAAAGAATTAAAATTTGAAATCTCATTGAAAAATGGAAATCAAAATTGTAGATAAAATATATTTATGAGAAATAATCGATCATAAAATACAATAATTGGACATAAATTGAATGCCAGATCAAAGAGATGAAGAGATAAGTAAGCGATTCAATTGAGAGAAGTATATATTATTATACATATAGATTAGGAAAGGGATTAAAATATAATTTCTTTATTTCTTTGGTCATAGAATTACTAAATATTTTAAGATTTTTTTTGTTGGCAAAGAATTTGAGGACAATTTTTGATTAAAAAACCGATACAATGAGTGATGAAAATGTAATGCAAAACGATATAGTGATCACTCATTTGTGAGTCTTATTTTGATGAATATTGGCATTCCTATGGTATGGTATGCCATGTCCTGTGCCCTCGACTGTCCTGTTATGCCCTGTACTGTACTATTGCTGATGTATTGTTTAACTGGCGATTATAGCCATAATTCCGTCACAAATTCCAATAAAGAAGTATACAATGAATCTGTGATTAGTAGTAGTGGTGATCACATATACTGTATGTATTGGCATATGATTTGGTGGAGAATTTGTGAGCAAATACTAGAGAGTTGTGGAGTAAACACAGGAATCGGCACTTATTTGCCACAAACAGAGTCAATGGTTGAGCGGAACGTTTGGTGTGTTTTTGGGGCCACAAAACACTGTTTAGCCCTAAAATGTGTAGACTTTGTGCGGATTGAATGTTTGCACAACAATACCAATGCATAGGAATTGTTGAGAAACTAAATTAAAGAGAAAAACTGTTGAGTTGTGTTGAATTGCTGGTGGTCTCAAACTTTTTAGCTAAGTTTACTCAACTCCATGTCAAGGAATGCCCAATAATTTGCTTATGAATCTCAAACCCAAATCAATTGTAATGTTAGTCATGTAATTGAAGTTAAGTGCTGTCAACGCATCCCAAAACCCCGGGTCCATAAGCACCTCTCTCTCTCTCTCTCTCTCTCTCTCTCTCTCTCTCTCTCTCTCGCGNNNCTCTCTCTCTCTCTCTCTCTCTCTCTCTCTCTCTCTCTCTCTCTCTCTCTCTCTCTCTCACGAGTTAATGCATATGCCATAAGACTAGACTTTCGTGTTAACCATCAGACTATCGGATATGGTTTCATAAACGTTTCATTTGGGAGAATATCGACAAATGCCGTCCGTTTCTGTGACTCCGGTTTCCTCAATAAAACCTCAAACATTACATACAGTATAATAAACCAGACTTTTAGTTATGTTTTGTTTTTTGAATCTATAATTCATTAAATATTTGATTTTTATTGCAAACTAAATAACAATTCATTAGAGGTTTTTATGAATGGCTGACGAAATAGTAATTAAGTCCCAAAACAATATTTTGTACTTTTTTTGGGCACTAAATATTGGCAGCGAGACTACAATCACCACAATTACACCAATTGTATAGATTTCCTCACATTTCAATTCATAGGTTTGTGTGAATTTAGGATTTGCTTTATTGTCGGATCAATTCTTAAATAAATAATATACAGTCATAATCGTTATATCAAACTATTAATAACAACAAAAAAAAGTATGAAAATTTTGGTTGATTTCAAATTGTTTTTACAAAATAAACTCATTGTTCATAAACTAGAATGAAAATGATTGCGAAAAAATGTTATTTCATTAACAAAAGTAATGTTCAATTTAAAATGAAATGCTCTTAATAGAAATGAATGATTATTTATATTCAATAGTTATATAATAATCAGCAAAAAATAGAGGAATAGTGTTACAGAAGCGGTCTTTCGAGTGTTAATCCAAATAAGAAAAAGTTAAACACAATTGAAAACTACACGACAACTAATTTCCACAATAAAACCATTTCTTAGACACTGTTTGTGGTCTCTTTGCAAGAGTGCTAACTGTTTAGACTTTCCATTAATTTTGTTTTTCATACAACTCTCTAAATGCTACTCTTCTTGTGCTCATTATATAACTATAACTCAAATTTTTGGTTAATTTTTCAATTTCATTGACTAAATGTTTGTATAAATGCTTATAAAAGAAAACAGATAGCAATTGATTATTACATTATAGTTATGACAATAAAATGAATTGATTTTTAAAGTGATCTATGAATTAATCAAATAATGAATTCATCGTTTGAAACACATTTCGTAATGGCTTCCAAATAGCAAAACAAAAAGCGTTAAAGTTTTAATTTCTTGCTCTGACGGGTGGGAGACTTCTTCCGAGTATCCGGTGATGTCTGAGAAACCAATTCTTTACTTTTAGACAAATGACTCTGAAATTCAATTATAAACAATATTAACGATAAGTAATTACAATCATTTGCACATTTCATTGACATTCAAATACAAATGTATTTTCGATTACCGGTATAATAAATAGTTAATAAAATACCAAAACACAATCATTTTATAGGTTATATGATATAACTTATATCTATTATAAACGCCAATACTTTGTATTTGAGTCCCAATTTACTGTTAAATCTAATATTTTATTTGAGAAATATGTGTCAATATTTCAAACCTGATTAGCGATTTGGTCGTCATTTTGTTTGACATTTGTCTGACAATTATTTTTGGCAGTATTCGTGCTATTGTCTAAACCCTTGTCATCTATTTCTGCATTTCTTAGCACAGAATTAATCATTTGGTCTTTAATTAAGAGACTTAAGAGTAGAGAGTTGTCATCGGATCCCAACTGCGAGTTCCTCTGAAAGGTGACCATCTTATTGACGAGTGAGTCGTCCGAAAAGGTGTCAATCTTGGCGTTGGTCTCCGTTTGTTCCAACAGTTTGTCTTTAGCCTTAATGTCTTTCTTGAGGACATCGACGCCGTGTTTGAGTGAAGACACGAGTCGTAAGAGAGGGAGAGTGAGGTGTCGGGAGAGTGTCTCGGGGTTAGTGCTGATCATATAGAAACTCCAGTCGAACTTCAAGATTGTCATCTGATTCTTCACTTTCAGTGTGAGTCGAGAGGTGTGACAATCGACAAGAAGTGTCTCGAAGTGCCATTCGTTGGCTTTGGTCACGTCGGCCAACAGCGACTTCAGGTGATGGACGAGTCGTTCGCGTTTCACTTCTCCCTTATTGAAGCGCCGGTAGTGATCGTCGATGTCTTTGCCCTCCAGACACTCGAAGTAGGTTTGCGTCAAATCTGTAACCATCACCGCATAGAAGTCCTCTTCAATTATGTACTTAATCAGTAGTGTTGTGTCCTTTCCGTGGATCTGACAGTCGATTGAATACATCCACGAAATGGTCTCCAATTTGGAGAGCAATACATCCGAAGAGTTGGCCATCACTTGAGGGGGTTATGACCACAACGATTGTCTCAATCAATCTCTTTCTCTCTCGCGGTTCTCAATATAACTCTCTTTTAATTAAATCTCAATTGAGTGACAAATTGTATGCGATATATAGTAAACAAACTTTAATTATGGTTAAAACAATAATAATAATAATACAGTGGAAGTGCAGGTATATTGTGTGGTAATGTGTGTATTCAGAATTTGAGCGAGCTCATATTTGGCAGGTCTGGTAACTTCATGTCTTTGATCTGTTGAGGAATATTAATCGACTTCATGGCAGAGACGGCTCGAGCGGGCGCTGCACTTATACCGGCCTATTGTGGGATAGTATGGGAAACACAGACATCAAAATGGGTTTACTATTCAGTACTCTCTTTGTCGCACATCAGCGACATCTGTGGCACACTATTCACTACCACTACTACTTCACACACTTTCAGCACATAATTGTCCCACAATTGCCATTAAATGTCATTATTCATATCAATTTAGCACCATGATCATACATTCTACTCATTATATTGACATGCATTCAACTAATTCTACTATAATATTAAGCGTTAAATTGACCCTAACTTTGTAACTCATTTTTATTTCCATTATATATTTAGTTTAAAGTTAACCAAAAGTATTGTCGGAATATTCACAGAATTTGATAATTAATAAATACATTATTCTTGTATTACTTTAATGTGAAAGAATTTCTATCAGTTAAATCATAAATCAAAATACCAACAAAATAAATAAAATTTTAATCTCTCTCTCTCTCTCTCTCTCTCTCTCTCTCATCTTGTCGATTGTCACACCTCTCGACTCACACTGAAAGTGAAGAATCAGATGACAATCTTGAAGTTCGACTGGAGTTTCTATATGATCAGCACTAACCCCGAGACACTCTCCCGACACCTCTCTCTCTCTCTCTCTCTCTCCAACTCACTTCTTGTTTCTCAATCTTGATTTGTTCCTCAATTCTATTAGTGATTTCAGACATATTGGTCTCCAAAACCATACCTCCCATCACGAGCTCATTAAGGATGTGATGGACCTATTGGTGGACCAGTGATGGCAGACATGAGTACAACATAATGGCAAAGAAAGTGTGAATATGTCAAACCCGGTCGACGTGGAAAATCAGATCCAATTCACACACATTTTCAAAACATTTGTCTAAAGTTTCCACAAAAACCTAATTTCCATATAATTTACAATTAATTGAAATAATTATCAAACGATATGTTATAATGAATGTCATGGAAGTGATGGCAGACCTGAATCAGATCCAGAATTCCTAATTCGCTTTCAGACGAATCCACACAAAATACAAAGTAAAGAGTGGCGTAATGTCTGTAAATTAACTTATAATCTGATCCACCGATAAGACTATATTCATAATTTGAAATCAATAATAATGAGATAATTTGAAATATGGATCAAATGGTGACAATTGGACGCAAACCTTCCGCCTTCCAGAAAATTGCACACATTTTCGTCCCGTTTGGACACTAATTGGAAAGTCTCGCGAATGATCTGTTGCTGCATGTCTTCGGGCTTCAGACGTGAATATGGGATCAGATATAAGAATCAATGAATGAGTGAATGAGTGGTGAATTGGATGCAAATGAAGGCAAAAGCAATGAAAACGAGTGAGTCTTACGTAGAAGTGGTAAAACTTGGAGAGACGAGGCTTTCCATAGTTGTTGAACACAAGAATCGCTTTAATCATCTCGGGATCAGTTGACAGATGCTATACTGTTGTAAGTAGTGATGTCTTGAGTGAATCAGATCCACATTTTATGCAATCGTTGTTTCAAATTATAATTTATGACATATTGAGTGCATTCATACATACATTACGTATGGATTGACTTTTAAATCATATATTGTTAACAATTTGTTAACTAATCGACAATTATTTGCATTCAATTTAATTAAGTATTTATTTAAGTATTGAAATGACAATTAATTTGCATTATTTAGAGTACATATTAATTGGTGTTTGTATTCAATTATTCACACAATAATTATATTTAAAATTCTGTACAATTTTTTCAAGAGATTAGTTAAGAAATTATTTTTAAAAGTTTAGATGTGTTTCTTTAGGTTATAGACATGTAATCATTTGATTAAAAGCTGTAGTTATATTTAGCTCATAATTTGATTTTCCGGAAATCCCTACAATTTAACCAATTTAATAATGTTTAAACTTTTTTTGACATTTTCTTGAATAATACAATGAAATCCTATAGAAAAGGTTAACATAAAATTGTTTTCAAAATTGTTAAAATATTGCAAACATTGTAAATAAGACTATTTTTACTCAAAAGTTATTTAAATTTAAATTGAGATCAAAATGTTGTCAAAAGAATAACTTCGATACAACTAATCCATTAAATCAGTTAAATGCAAACGTTCTGAAGGACTCGACCCCTCCCCTCCCCATCGTTCGCAAAAGTTCGCTTTGGACGACAACCCCTCCGCCAAAGTGCGAATGTAATGTGAGGTCTCCTTAACACAAAAGTTATTTTAAGGTTTGATAAAGAATTATTAATAAGGTTGGTAAATTATCACTAGAGCTTCGATTTTTCGGGAATAAAAACATATAAAATCGGGAGTATACATAGCCAAAATCGGGAAAATTCGGGAATTACGTTTTTATTGGGTTTTCACATAATAATTATATATTTAAGTGATTTTAAAAAGGTTTATATGCACTAGTGAAGCAAAATAATGCCATTTGTATCTCATGCTTTATATTGTAGATGAACATAATATTCACAAGCATTTGTTTTATCTATAGTATACAATAAATTTATCATAAATTATGTGAACTTTGCAGCAAGTTTTAGTACTCTGTCAGTAAATTCATTAGGATTTTGATTGAAAATCCAATATTTTTAAAAATTTATCTTGAAAATCTGCATTTCCTGTGCCATTTTAAATTAAATAAAGGCTTTTCGGGAATTTTCCTAACAATATACCAAAATCGGGAATTTTCTCAAAAAGTGCCAAAATCGGGAAAAATCGGGAAAATAAAACTTATATATTTTAGGTCTATTAAGACCCCTAAAGCTAATGGTATGTAATTCCCGATGATTTTGTTAACTATTTTTCTTCGGGAATTCCCGAAATTTTGAAGCCTTAATTATCACATTTTTGGAAGCTACGTATTTTACGTTGTAAAATAACAAAATCTACGTGGTTTATAATATTGTCAACCGTAGTTGTTAATACAGTAATAGGAAATTTTTATATTTACACAAAAGTAGATTAAAGGGGTATTTAATTTATCATTAAACACGTGTATAAAATAAATTGTATAGCATTTCGTTCGTTAACCGATTAAATTAAATATACGTATATTTATATTAATTTCTATCAAAACCATAAAAATATAAATTGACTGTTTAGAAAAGGTGTTATCACTCATGACTTTGACATACTGTATATTTTCTAATAGTTTTAGAAAATATTTACTTTTAATTTTTGTAGAAATGAATTATCGATTACTATAATAATGATTAGTATTATTATATCATTAGTTGACATCTAAATAAAAAGGTTATATTTGAAGGCTATTATTAAAGGAACTGTTGTTTTGTATAAATTACACAATTTTTATGCTATATTAAATTTAATGTAAAAGTTATTGAATTGCATAATTTTAAACATATAAATAAAAACAGCAATCAGAGTGACAACATTTGCCACATTAGGCGAAACACAACAAATTATTTAATGTATAAATTTAATTGAAAAATTCTGGAGTCGTGTCACCAAATGGTATAAAAAGTTATAGAAAATAATGTATTTTATTGATTGTGTGTCGACAACAACATAATTGTCAACACATTTGTTTAATTCATGTAATAATAATAATAATCTCAATTTACAACATTTTTATGATTTGAATTTCAGACTAACAAAACATTTGATGCTATATTTACTGCAATATCAGCGATAATATTAAATATTAATAAAATAAAACTTTAGACTTAAGAATTCACACAAGAATAGTGTGATAATCGCATGAATACATCCATAATTTGCAATTATATTGCTTTCATGATATAATGGTATATATTTATGAATGGAAATATTGATGCGATTAAACGAAACTAATATCAGTTTATAAACCATTTATATATAAAGAATATCTTCAGACATGAGGGAAGAGAAGTGCAAAGACTCCTAAATGCTATACAAATACAGTAGAAATAGACCTAAAACTTGATTTAAAATTCCAGAGCCCTTGAAATTCAAGGACTTTTTTTATTCAGTATTATTTGCGAGACAACTATTTTAGATTAAAACTTGTGTTATTTTCCAAATGGAAAATTACTTTTAATCCTCACGACAACACTTCACTATAAAAAGTGTACACTAAATATAGCGAACACATCATTTCCAACTTTGTTGTGTCTCTCTTAAGTATTACACATTTGTTTTACAAATTATATACATTTTAATTGTAAATTAACTATTTTAGTTTATTTGTTAAATTATTTGTGCGTTAATTTGTATTAATTAAATCAATTGCAAGGTTTGTAACAAACGTTTTAATTAATTGAAATTAAATTCTTTCTAAACTTATTTTTAACTTTCAATCAATTAATTTATTTCTGTTAATTTAATTAAATACAATCGAAAATGAATGACTGTTTTATTATAGGATTTGTTCCCTAATAGTTACCATGAAATAACATTATTAAAAATTATAGACAAAACAATTAATTGAATTTTATATTGAAATAAGTTTTGAATGACTTTCATTGTTTAGTGCTACAATGGGCAGCAATAAAAAAAATGCATTAAAGTTCATATACAGTCAATGTATAAACAGTTATTTTTTAATTGAAATGTACACTCAGTGTACATTTTGCCCGTTATAGGTTTAGTGTGTAGTAAATCATTGTTACATTTATTAATATTTTATTATTTGAAAATTATTATTGATTTTCATTATTGAAAACATGATTTATATTTAATGTCGGAGATATCTCTAATCGCACTGAATACTTAAAAATAAGTTATTTATAACAACTCAATTAAAATCTCGCCATTTATTTAATTAAATTTTGAAATCAAATATTCATTAAAAACTCGTTAGATTTTTGTTTGTTGTTAATTTAATCATTAATTCCAACCAATTTCCCTATTTGTACATCCGTTAGATTTACATTAAATTTGATTACAAATGCAAGTAATCTATCGGTTGTTTCTATAATAAGTATTAATATTATTCTACGTTTGAATTAAACATCAAAGGAAAGTATTGATTGCAAGAATTAATTTAATATCTCATTTATATTCTCAAATGTTTTGTTTTTTGCATATAAATAGCAAAATAATATTTTTTAAATTCTTTATAAAAATTGTACACAATTTATAGAGAATTAGAAAAAGTATTTATTGATTAATCGATAAGAGATCAATTTATAGATAGAAATTAATTTAATATACAACTAATATATAGTCTCATTTGACAACATTACTGAAATTAAGTGAAAAGTGATTTTCTAGACAGAGATTCCCATTTTTATGCCAAAAATAACTAAATTTAACTATAGTTTGAATGCCTTAAAAAATGATACAACAGTAATTCATATCCTGAATAGTGTAGTAATAGTAATATTACATAATATTCTGTATGTTCTGCGCCTGACTATTGTCATCACATTTGACATTAATTTCTATTAATTCAACACATATTTTGATTTTATTATTTTGCGTTAAACCAAATGAATCTCATTTCTATTCAAACAACAGTTTAGTTCAAAACATAAAACAATCTCAAAATGAGCTCAAAGAAGAAGGTGGCGATCATTGGGTCCGGAAATTGGTATTTATATTCATTAAGAATTGCTAACAAATAATGTTTTCTAATAATTATGTTTATGTATTAAATGTAATAACAGGGGATCAGCCATAGCGAAGATAATTGGCGCAAATGTGGCCAAATTTCCGCATTTCGATAAAGAGGTAAAGATGTATGTCTACGAAGAGATGATCGACGGACAGAAATTGAGTGAAATTATTAATACCCGACACGAAAACGTCAAATATCTGCCAAAACACATCCTCCCGAACGCTATCGTATGTTTTGCTAAATATTATCATAAAATAGCACTCAAACCATTAAACGGTGATATATTTAGGTCGCGGTTCCCGACGTCTTAGAGACGGCCAAAGACGCCGATATTCTGGTGTTTGTGGTTCCGCACGCTTTTGTGCCCAGAATTTGCAATACATTGAAGGGAAAGATAAAGTCAACTGCTGTGGGAATCTCACTAATTAAGGTAAATTTGTATTTATTAAATGAGATAAGTTTACAAATTATATGTATTTAATTCGTAAAGGGTTTCGGCGAAACACCGAACGGAGGCATTGAATTAATATCGGATGTGATTAAGAATATTTTGAGTATTGATTGTGCGGTTCTGATGGGCGCTAATCTGGCCGGAGAGGTGGCCGACGAGAAGTTCTGCGAGACAACAGTCGGTGAGTTAAACATTGATTAACGACTGAATATAGAAATTTAATTTAAATGTTGTATTTGTATGGAAAGGGTGTCGACATAAAGACAACGGCATTCTGTTCAAAGAGCTCTTCCAAACGGACAATTTCAGAGTGACAGTAGTTCCCGACACTTACACCGTTGAGATATGCGGAGCTCTCAAGAATATCGTGGCAATGGCTGCAGGTATTCATACAATTGTAATATTATTAAAATAAATCACTAAATAATTGGTTTTGTTTTAGGCTTTTCTGACGGTTTGGGTTACGGCGACAACACTAAGTCGGCTGTCATTAGGATTGGTCTCAAAGAGATGATTCGTTTCATCAAAACCTTTTATCCCGACGGAACCAAAGAGACCACATTCTTCGAGTCTTGTGGTGTCGCAGATCTCATCACAACCTGTTATGGCGGCAGAAATCGCAGAGTTTCTGAAGCGTTCGTAAAGACGGGCAAAACGTTGGATGAATTGGAAAAGGAGTTATTGAATGGTCAGAAACTACAGGGATTTCAGACGGCGTGCGAAGTGATGACAATGCTTAAGACCAATGGACATGTCGACAGTCAGTCCTATGCCTTACCATTCACTTGATATGATTGATTGATTTGAATATATTTTGATGCAAAACTAGGATTTCCACTGATTGAAGCGGTTTACCTGATTGGTCGCAAAGACATTCCTCCCCAACAAATGATGGATTACCTGCGAAGAGAACCCGAAGACTTGTAATCAATATTTTTGCCATAATTTGTTCCATTAGTTGTTAGACGAGTGTTAGGTTTTAAATGAATTAATAGAAAGCAAAGTGTATAATGAATGCAAATGAATTTGTGCCTCAAATTGGTTTGGTTTTTATAGTTTAACAATTATTTTAGTATCGGTTGTGAAACAATATATTATTTTTTAATTATGAAAACAATTGTTTTAAAAACATTAACATAAGTTTAGAGGAAATATTTAATAAGTTTTTTGTTTTTTCTTTATAGTTATCGATAACTTATTGTTTTAAATATCTAATGGAATCGAAATCTTTATGACAATTATTACATACATTCAGTTATGAATATCTATTTTACAATATTTTGATTTTTAAAATCGTTAAATAAATGAATATTTTTTTGAAAAACATTGCATTTGTAAATATTTAGAAAAATTGTCGTTTTTTGAAAACGATTGAAAAGATTTCGATTTCAATCCATATCAGACTCAGAGTCGGCATCGGATAACTGGGCGCTCACTTCGTATTTCTCTTTTAAATTTTGCAGTCTTTTTAGCAACAAATTGTAATCATAGACTCCGCGCTCTTCGCCGCCGAACGGATCAATCATTTTTCGTTGAGACCGAAACACGTTCTTCTGAACCACTTCTTCGTAATGCGGATAAAACTCGACGAAAGACCTCTCAATCGCTTTCCTGTAGAAATGAAAACAATTTTAAAATAAATTTCAATAAATTGTAAAAAACAAAGTCTAATATTTTTCCTTAAAATGTCGGGACAGTTGTGTGAATCGGTGTTCACGTTATCAATCATATCACAGACGGCCACTCGTATGGTTTCGTGAGATATTATCTCATTATAGGTCTCGACATCCTTTGGGTTTACATTTGGGCACTCCTTTAAAACAATCAATATTTTTAAAGACTCATCAAAAAGTACAAAAAGGGACGAAGGGTTTGGAAGGGTTGGCATACCTTTCCATATCCGGGTTCGTTATAATATGGTTTGTCATTCATTAACGATTGAATTGATAGGAGGACTGTTGACAAAGTGAGGGCTGGACTCCAACTCGGGCCTAGAGTTGACACAAACACTACATTAAAACTATTCAATACCCAAACTGGTGAAGGCATAACATACCGGCCCACGTCCTGCACATCGAGTAAACAACAAATGAATAACAATTAACTCAAAGTAAACACTGAAATGAAGACTTACCCCAAAATACTGAGACATACTTTTCCATTCTTATAGAGGTTTGGGTTGAATCTGACGGTTCCGTTACAAGTGGTCAGTAGTTTCACACGCGGAGGGCTGTCGTCGGGAGAGTAAACGTTAGCTATAATCTAGTGGTATATATAAGTGGCCAACACTTACTGAATGGGATAATCGGGAGGACATCGGATACTAAACCTGAAGAAACCGCCGCAATAGGGCGTCTCAAAGGGTCCGGTAATGAGTGCCTCGATTCGGGTGATGTCCGACTCGTGCGGAACCGCTATTATTCCCGGCAACGGATCCGTTACTATCAATGAACTCAAGTCTCTGTCGTAAACAACAAATCAAATGACAATCAGATTCTGGAGGCAAACCGTGGCCTCAATTGTCACCTACTTTTTGATCCGCAAATAAGTGGTTCCAGTGATGGACTCGTTGTCCCAATCAGTGCTGTTCAACGGATCCCAAGCGGATGTTAACGGATTCATTGCCATTTTGGCCACAGATATGGGACACCAATTGGTGGCGATTATTGTCTCAAATTCAATGATATCACCGAAGAGTGAATCCAAAGACAAATGCAATGCAAAAATGATTGAAAAATTTCAATTCAATTTTCATTACAGTTTACATGCAATAGACATGCGCTCTAAACACATACACTCTATCATCGATTAAGCATTGATTACGTCCACTATTACAGGGAGTGGGCTGTCATTTATTGCTAACTAATTACTCTCTTTGCATATTTTGTGATCCAAAATACAGACTAAATATGATTAATGAAATGCTGTTTACATTGAATTTGCATATAATGTTCAATAAAAGTGTTTATCATTTAATTTATTAAACATACGGTAATTGTTATATAACAACGTTATTGAGTGAAACATGTGCTAAGTTTATGTTGAATGTCGTGTCGATAGTATTTTTAGGTACAAAATGTTTCCGTAATATTGGGAACATTTACCGCAATGTTGAATTGAGCATGGTTAGATGCAATATAATCGCTCATCATATTAAATAAATTATAAAGAGTTAAATGGTTTAACTGTTTAACTAGTAATTAAGCGCTTATATAATTGTCGAGTATATGAATCGCCGGGAATTACGGGGGAATTAGAAGGGAATAAACGTGTATCGAATAGAGTGTGTGTTTGTGTGGAGTGTTTGTGAAGCCTATGTGTACTGTTTGTGGCGTTCAGTAGTGTTTGCAGTAATGCAGTGAATGACTGAATGACTGCAAGTAATGGCGATAACAACCGGCAAATCGTCTTCGCGTTCAAAGGATGGCCAGCGATGGGTTGTGTCGGCCGACGTGTTGGGCCGCCAGTCGTTGCTCAGAGTGACAGTACTGGCGCTGTGTTGGTTGGCCGGCTTCTGCGCCCGACTCTTCGCCGTCATCCGCTTCGAGAGCATTATCCATGAGTTCGACCCATGGTTTGTACAACTCATCACTTTCGCACATCCCATCGCCTCTTAGCCCACCCGTCACTCTAATGGCTGTGTCTGTTGTGTGTTTGTCCAATAGGTTCAACTACAGGGCCACCCACTATATGGTAGAGCACGGCTTTTACAACTTTACCAATTGGTTTGACGAGAGAGCGTGGTATCCATTGGGACGTATTGTCGGCGGAACGGTATGTCACGGCCCCCGTCGGCCCCTCCAACTGCCCCCACACTCTCACCACTGCTATCATTGCTATATTATATGCTTTTTAGGTCTATCCCGGTTTAATGATCACTTCGGGTGCCATTCATTACGTTCTCACGATTCTTAATATTCCGATACATATTCGGGATATATGTGTGTTCTTAGCGCCCATTTTTAGCGGTCTGACCGCCATTTCCACCTATTTCTTGACCAAAGAATTGTGGTCAGAATCGGCCGGTCTTTTTGCCGCCTGTTTCATAGCAATCGGTACTTATTTATTGTGATTATTGTATAAATTAATAATTTACTGATGTATCATTTGAATGGTGTTTCAGTTCCCGGTTATATCAGTCGATCGGTGGCCGGCAGTTATGACAACGAAGGCATTGCTATATTCGCCCTTATGTTCACATATTATCTTTGGGTATGTATTAAATAATTATGAATGAGATTTATTTTGAATTAATTATAATTTGTGATCACAGGTGAAGTCAGTAAAGACGGGTTCCGTCTATTGGTCAGCGTTGACAGCGCTGTCCTACCTGTATATGGTGTCCGCATGGGGTGGATATGTATTCATAATAAATTTAATTCCTTTACATGTATTTTTGCTGCTAATTATGGGTCGATTCTCTCACCGCATATACGTTTGTATGTATTGATTGGATGTATTGACTGAATGATGGTTTTAAATGATATGATTTTGTATGTATTGATAGCTTATTCAACATTTTTCATTTTGGGACTACTATTCTCAATGCAAATACCGTTCGTTGGTTTCCAACCGGTCCGCACCTCCGAACACATGGCCTCCGCCGGCGTTTTCCTTTTGCTCAATGCATACGCTTTTCTCAAATATCTGCAAAACTTTATGACCCGTTCGGAAATGAAGACATTTTTCCTGACGGCTGTCATCGGTATCGCCGGCGTTGTGTTTCTAGGAGTGGTTGCCCTGACATACGCCGGTTATGTGGCGCCATGGAGTGGTCGCTTCTACTCCCTGTGGGACACGGGTTACGCCAAAATTCATATTCCTATCATCGCGTCGGTGTCCGAACACCAACCGACCACTTGGTTCTCATTCTTCTTCGACTTGCATCTACTGATCCCCACATTTCCCATCGGTTTGTGGTATTGTATCAAAGAAGTGAACGACGAGAGAGTGTTCAGTAAGCAATTTTTGATTGAATTGATTGCCATTATATTGTGAGTTAATTGTTTGAAATGAAACCCACTCTTTGCAGTCGCTCTCTATGCCATAACTGCCGCATACTTTGCTGGAGTGATGGTTAGACTAATGCTGACATTAACGCCAGTGGTGTGTGTGTTGAGTGCCATCGCATTCTCGGAATCCTTTTCGTACTGTCTTCAGGACGAAAAGCCGACACAAAAATCGCGCACTAATAGTGTCGACGGATCCGTCGATTCCAGTACTGATAGCGAAGAGAACAATCAAAACGGAGCCGAAAAGACTATTCATAAAAACCTTTACGACAAAGTATGGCATAATTTAGTGTGAATTATATGAATTGGTTTTAATGCCTAATTTGCGATTTGAAACTATAGGCCGGAAAAGTGCGAAAACCAAAGACAGACGCGTCAAAGGAAAATCAGGGCATCGGTGCAAATATGCGCACATTTATATCGGTGCTGCTGGTGATGATGCTGATGCTGTTTGTGGTGCATTGCACCTGGGTCACTAGTAACGCCTACTCGAGTCCCAGTATTGTGTTGGCCTCTTATAGCGGCGACGGGTATGTCATTAAAAAATACAATTATTTTATTTGGTTTATAAAAATGTATTTTTGCAAATACTTTGTTTAGATCTCGTGTTATTTTAGACGACTTCCGCGAGGCTTACTATTGGTTGTCGCAAAACACCGCAGACGACGCCCGAGTGATGTCGTGGTGGGACTACGGGTGCGATAAGACATTTATTATGTTATATGAACTGTTGTTTGAATGATTATTTGGTTGTCATAAAAGGTATCAAATCGCAGGAATGGCTAATCGGACGACTTTAGTGGACAACAATACGTGGAATAACAGTCATATCGCACTCGTATGTTAACTATAATTGCATTGAAATTGTAGAGCAATTGTGACAATGGATGTGATGTTTTGGGATGAATAGGTGGGCAAAGCGATGTCATCCAACGAAAGCGCCGCCTATACTATAATGCAATCGCTTGACGTGGACTATGTGTTAGTCATATTCGGTGGTGTGATTGGCTATTCCGGTGATGACATCAATAAGTTCTTATGGATGGTTCGCATCGCAGAGGGAGAGCACCCGAAAGACATCAGAGAAAGCGATTACTTCACAGATCGCGGAGAATTCCGAGTGGACTCTCAGGGGGCGCCCACTCTTCTCAATTGCCTTATGTATAAACTCAGTTACTTTAGATTCGGTGAACTACAGGTATGTGAACCAAGACATGCATTTAACTGATCCATTGATTGATGTGAAATGTGTTGTACAGCTTGACTATCGAAGTCCCGCGGGTTTCGATCGAACCCGTAATATGGAAATCGGCAATAAAAACATCCGATTGGAGCACTTGGAAGAGGCCTACACTACCGAGCATTGGTTGGTTCGCATATATAAAGTCAAACAACCGGCCAATCGTTTGAAGATCTCTTACGCCGATCGTAAGGTTAAGCCCAGTAAAGTGTTTTCCTCCAAAAAGGTAAATACAGAATGAATGGTACGAATGGTTGAATTGCTATAATGAAGAAGTGATGGTATGTTTGCAGACGACAAAGAGGAAGAAGGGAACGATTAAGAGCCGACCCGTTGTTATCAAAGGCAAGCGGACGACAACGACGAGCGCCGCATAAGCTTTCGTTAATGGGATTAGTAATAAATAGGAAATAATTTATTATTGAGTGCCTCATAGGTTGCAAACCATATTATTTGCATTTTATAATACTTGACAGACATCTCATTCAATGAAAATATTTTTAATATTATTTAAATGAAGTTTTTTGTTTGTTTTTTGACATAATCTTAAAGTAATTGTTATTCGAAGTAATTTCTAAATGAAATCGTTTTCTCTCTCTTTTATAATTTAATTGAAACATATTTTCCAAACACAAGCGAACCCTTGGGTGCAATCTTTTTATGTAAACGACTGACTCTATTGTCTGTATTTGTTGGACATTTGCCACCATTTGATTGATTTGTTAAACAATTTATATTACAAAATATATTCAATAGAAAACTAGTCAAACGATGAAACGAGTCGTCTATTTTCATATCAATTTAACATTCCATTAGACATAACGATAACTAACAATATATCGACCATTAATTTAACGGTAATTTGTGGCCACACTTTAGCCAAAGCACGGCATATATATGGCTAAACCATATGAATGTATTACTCAATTCCATCAATAAAAATGGGGACACTTTTTGAACAATTTTATTCAATTATAATTTATTCAATGATAGAAAACATGTTTTAATGATTAGATTTGTTTCATAACTAATATTAAGTGATATTCATTTGATATAATTCTACACAAAAACAACAATTTAATAGTTGTATGATTAGAGATGTAAACCTTTCGAGGACTTGATTTTGGACATAACGTCCCATAAATCAGTTCTTTTCAAATGAAACAATAGTTTTTTCTCAATCTCTTCGACCGCTTCTAACGTGAGAACAAGTGTCTCGTGTTTTAACATTGAGAACACATTGAGTCCATAGACGGGCATAAGATTGATGTGTTTGATTGAATCGGTGGCCACCGATATATTGCGGGGAAATATGTCCGACTTGTCCACGAAGAGCACACTCGGACCCCAACCCCTGGCATCGCAGAGCTCTTCCACGTGTTCGCCGGTATCGGCGGACAGGGAGTCGAGTGTATCGACCACTTTGAGGTCGTCCTGAGCCAACTTCGCCGACAACATCGATACGAGTCCTTTGACTCGTTTATGAAACGGCAATAAATAGAAGTGAGTTTTGGGCCCACGAGGACCCGTCACATACGCGCCGTGGATCCATTGCGGCGCCCGATAACCTCTGGCACGCGCTCTGCCGGTGCCCTTCTGTGGCCACGGCTTACTCTTAGGGCC